AAAAAGAAATTAATAATAATAATAAAGCAAATAAATAAATGAAATTTGTAGCATATCCGGTCAAATAATAAATATAGATAACACAGCTGAAGCCACTTCGGCCAACCCCTTCCACCTTCCATCATAAACTCATCTCATCAACAGGCAGGGAGCCAGGCAACAAGGCCTCCATGCCCATATGCTATGAGCAACAAGACTCTGTGCAAACGCTCTCTTAAAGCGGCGTGCCGTTTGCCACAACGTTCCGTCTTATACGCAACGTTTCGGTAATGAAACGCAGCAGCATAACAAGAGCGCATAGAGCGAAGAGCACAAGAGATAAAAGTCTGCGCTCTTTCCTTGGATTTACTCAAAATGAAGTAAATACAATGTAACGTTAAGGTGTTTATTTTTTTTTTTGGCTGAGGCAGCAAAATGTAATCAATAATATTAAATATTTAATGTGGCAGGTGGAAATGAAAAAAATGTATAATTTATGAACTACGCAAATCATTTGCAGAAAAATAAAACAATATGTTATTGCATTGATTTGGAAAAATTTAATAAAAATTAAATAAATAATATTATTTAATATTCTTTCCTCTTCAAAAATATAAACAAACGCCAGGCTTACCTGTGCTCTGGCACCTGGCCGCCTAGCGCCGCACAGCTATGTACTCAACATCCACTCACGTTCCACATGCAACAACTTTGCTTGCGCTCTTCGTGCGGCCGTGTCCCTCTCTTGCACTCTCTCTATCTCTCTCTCTGTTCGCTGGCTTCGTTGAGTTGCGCTGTAAAAGAGTCGCATACAGGTGCACGCCAACAGCGACTACCTCGCTCTCGCGTCGCTGGCACCTACAGAGCCGCCCGCCCACACACAGACACCCGCACACATGCAATGACATGCTCTTCGTTTGCCTGTTCACTCGTTCGCTCTCTCTCTCTCTCTAGTGTGCGCTCTGTGTTGGCAGCAGGAAACGTCGCAAGGAAATGCCAAAATGTTCAACGTCCATTCGTTTTCGCATGTGTGCGAGCAACTGTAACTGTATGTGTATGTGTGTTCGTGTGTGTGTGTGTGGATGACATTGCGGCGCTCGTTGGGGCAGCGCCAGTTGTCGGCTAACGGTAGTCGTTGCGAAACTTTTGCTGGAGTAACGTGTCGCGCAATTGAAATTGGCGGCGTTTTCATCGTCCAGCGCCAGCGTCGTCTCCAATTCGCGTGCTCGCGACTTTTTTAAAAACGTCTCCGTGTGTGTGCGTGCGTGTGTGTGTGTGCGTGAGTGAGTCTCAGTGCATGTGTGTATGTGAGTGAGTCTGATTCTGAGTGTGTGTGTGTGTGTGTGTGTGTGGGGCTGCCAATTAGTGTGTTACATTTGTGCAACAGTCCCGTGTACGTGTGCGTGTGCGCGTGTGCGTGTGCGTGTGCGTGCCCCATGCTGCATGCGTGTGCGTGGGGCGCCGCAGTCGCGAGACCAGCTTCAAATTTATTAACATATTTTTAAATACAAAATGCAAATCTCGAATAGCTCAACTACTCAATAAATACATATACACACATACATGCATATATAAACCGATATATATACATATACATATACATATACAGCAAGTGGAACCTTTCTCCTAGGTAAGCTTAACCCGTAAAACAAACTTCTAACGAGCTTTTAATTCACTTTGTCTTGCCTTCGTCCGCTCAAGTTTTATTTGTCCTTTATTTTCTGCTATTTTTTTCGGTTTATTTATACTTGGGAAAACTTTCTACGAAATTCAATTTTTGGCCAGGGCCCTGGAAAATGGCCAGCAATAGAAATTTTACCCACAACGCACGTTTATGGTCATTAAACTGAATTAGATCAAGTTAAACGATGTCTACAATTAGATTATGTGCAAATGAAAACACGAGGCTCAACTGCGACTATTTCCTATCAATTCAATTAATGGCAACTGCGAGATAAGAGCTTAAAAATAAATTTAAAAAATATCCATGTACATTTTGTGTCTAATTTGAGGTTGAACTAACTCTTGAAAAAATAACCAAACATTGCCGTTCTCTACTCCTTTATCCACTCATTCTCTCATTCTCAGTCATTCACTAAACTTTAAAATTAGTTTCTTTAAATATTAGCTTTAGGCAATGATATTATATTATATCATATTATTTTAAGCAAATTATCGAATCAATTATGTTTATCATCCACTTCAATGATGAAATTTATAAAAATATTGAACATTTATTGGTTAATAATGTCATCATGCACTTATTTTCTGTTCAATTAAATTTCAAAATACAAAGACTTGAGGCTATTATGCTAATTACCAAAGACAATATTTTATGTATGAAACAGTTGGAGCACTAGTTTTTGCTGCTTCAAAGATAAATTTGATCAAGTTGGCTGTTTCGAGAAAAGCCGTTAACTGACTCATTTGTGGTTATTCGGAGCTGCTGCAGTTTTTTATTTGGCGACTTGGCTAAAAAAAGAACCGAATATAGAAATAACGCCAAATTAGATGTTTTCCGGCTTATGCATTATTTTTGTTAGTTATGTTAAATATACTAAATTAATATATACCTCATCGGCCAGGTAATTTTTCGATCTACAATTTAGCATTTGCATTTTTTTTTAATTTTAACTAATTGTACATGTTTTATATACGTTTGAAGTTGAAAAAATAAACTTTTTTTTATGATAGTTTCTTTACATATATATATTTTTTCTTTTAGTAAATTTTGCATATTTATTTTAATTATAATTTTTTTTTTTTTTTTATTTAGTGTAAAACCATTTACATCATAATTTAGCACCTAAACAGCACTTGAATCATTTTCAGTATTAATAATAAATAAAACAAGTTAAAATAACACTTTAATTCATTATCCATCCATTCCATTCATTAATCCATCCAAAACTTGAACCATAAAAAACTACAAAAGTTGTTTAGCTTTCAACAATAATAAATAAAATCGCAAATGAGTTGTTTTACAAGACAAATCAAGTTAAGTCATCAACAACAGAAATGTATATTTATTTTTGATGCAAATATCTACGATATATAATAATAAATTTCAAATGAATATCTACTTTAATGAATAGCTGAAAACAAAATCATAATTATAGCAAATATATTCTTGTAACATTATGATAAAACACATTGTAATACAAGCCTAATAAATTAATTAACATATTTATGCTGACAGCCGCATGGAAGATCATTCAAGATTCGTTTTATTAGCCATGTCTACGCCGTGCGCTGTAGCTAATCCAAACACCTCACAAATTTAATAAGCTCTATTCAGCGGCGATGTTTCCCTTCCAAATCAACCTTCGCAACATGCTAATTAATGGCTAAGAAACAAACCAAAAACTTTGACAAATATGAAATGACAAAATTCAATGAGCAGCTGAAAAAAAAAAAAATAAAATAAAAAACGACAGCTGTAAAGTTTACAGTCCACAAGAAAAATGTTGACCCAAGTAAATTAGCGTGAAAATTCCTGAACAGAAATATTTAGTTGATTATGAATGCTAAGAGGCAAAGTGTAGAAGAAATACCAGAGTTAGTTGGAAATGGATGCGGAGTGCGTGGGAAAACGTGTCAAACGGCAAACTGGGAAAATTGTGGCAAGGTCAGCAGCAGACGGCGACACGCCCCAAACTCACGTGTAGCACAGGGCGAAATGCAGTTGGTTTTATTTTAGTTTTAATTAAAAAGAGCAAAAGTGACTTTTGAAATGGTCAAGAGATAAAACTGCAATAACTATAAAGAGCAGTTTAAAACGGAATTGACGATCGACAGTTGGGTTGGCTTGGCTTGGCTTGGTTTGGGTGGTTGGGGTGGTTTGGGTGGTTTGGGTGGTTAGCTAGCAAGAAGTCATGCCATGCTATGTGGGGGACGCACACGCGTCAATTTGTTAAGCGGGTCACGTACGAGCCAACCCTATTGGCCAACCCAAGTGCCACACAGGCCTCTTCCGTTCGACGTTTTCTCTATCTATGTGCGAGTGTGTGTCTCGGTGTTTGTGTGTGTGTGTGTTGTCATCAACACGAATATAAAAATCGAGAATTAAACTCGATGAAAATGGCAACAACTTTTGCTGCCCCACTCAAACAACGCCCCATACGAGTAGCGCTGCTTCTGTTGCTTTTGTTCTTCCAACAAATCGATTTCAATAAAGTTGAATTTTGTTTGGTATTTTCTTTTTTTTATATCGTCTTTATGGGCAATGGCTTTAAAGGCCGCTGCCAAATGACGCAACAAATTAAATGTCAATAATTTAAAATAATTACCAAAAAAATACAAACGCTATCAAAGCAAGTAAATAAAATAACGTTTAACAGTAAATCCCAAGGCCAAATAAATTTTCAACAATTTTTATGGCTTTTTAATCTAATAAAATTGCCATAAAAAATAAGCAAAGGCAAGATAACCGAGTTGAGAATTGGCTAAATAAAAGTAAATCAATAGCAGCATAATTTAAAATAAATAAATGCACTTTAAAGTCGAATAAGAAAGAGCATAAAACAAATAAACAGACAAAATGTGATGGGAACTTTCACTGCCACTGCGATTGCGACTGCAACTGCGACAGCGACTGCGACTTCACTTCATTATTGTCAAAGGGTTAATGGCTGCGTGCCCATGACATGAAAGGGTTCGCTGCACTAATGACCTGCATTTTGCATGTGAAATGGGCGCAGCCTGAGCCCATTTTGAGGGTTGAAGTAGAAGGGTTTGGAACAGCAGCTTGGGAAATACATACGTGCATATCTATCTGCGAGAGGGCTTGAGCATGCTCCAGTTCAAATTACAGAATTTAGCTAATAATTATTTGATTTATTGCAATCAAAAGTCTCATATCTTTAAGTTAAGTGTTAAATTTAAAATGATTTAAAATTTTATACCCGCTCGAGGTATTGAGGTATTTTGGTATCTGTTATAAGTATTATATATTGTAAAAAATTATAGTATATTAGTTCAAAGGAAGCCTAAATATATTTTGAATCAATTAAACTATAGTCCTAAATTTATGTATTTTTTTTTTATTTTTTTTAAATTTTTTTATTTATTTTTATTTTTGTTTTATTTATTTAT